GCTATCCGACCGAAATAGTTGTGTGGCAAGGATTGGAACCAACGATCTCCCAGGCTTCTAGAACAGACATACGGATATTGTCAGAGACGTATAAAGCTAAGGAAAACGAATTTAAAAAAAGGTACTGAGCGAATATATAGGAGCTACAGCGTAAACTTCATCCCTCTAGGTGTGAGGCCGCTAGAGAGAGAGTAGCCTAACTACAATTTTAAGAATTGAGTTATTTATATTTTCATAGTCTAAAAAAACTGTTAATTTCCAAAATCACAGATATCAAGAATTGCTAACATAATTCTTACACAATTAATAGTAAAAAACTATTATCGCCTAAGTTAATTGCGCATGCTTAATGTTAATAGATCACTCTGCCTTATAGTATTACTGCAGCCTTAGCAGCCTCATAGTATGATTTGTTAACTGTACATAATAATCTAGCAGGTAGATAGCGGTGCAGTGTTCCAAAGTATAGTCTTCAGTTTTACGCAACCAACGTACGTTTCACCGTCGGAAAGGGAAGCTCCTTCACGCTTGGTCAGAGCTGAAATAAAACGCGTTCGATATTACCATATCATCTATTAGTTATTCTTTATTATCTTTGAATAGTAACTAACGCTTTGTAATTGGAAGGTATGCGTTCATGAGCGTCCTACTTCTATTAGGAAGATAGGGTCGGTTCGATCCTAGGACGTGTACTAAAAATAATCTTCGAGGTGAACACAAATGATGTTGAACACGACACTGAAGTGAATCACTGACATGCATTACCGACCAAAACGCGATTGTCTGGTGTAGAAAAGCCGTAAAATTTGTTTTTTTTTCCTATATATAAAAACATACAAATTCCAGAGGATTCAGAGATCACATGAAACAGTCGCTCATGACTATCATTTTTAAGTAAGTACTACAGCTCACCGATGCACAGTGGGGCCACATTGGTGGGTTATTATCATTAAATTCAAAGTGAAAAACGTTGCCTAGAAGAAATCGCCATAGGCGATAAGGCCGCCTTTGCACAAACATGTTTTTATTTTGTATATATAATTATAAGTATCTATGTTCGTATATATTTGTATGTTTGAGCAATAAAGAGTTTTTATAATTATTAATATTATTATTAAATTTGCATCATTGTCCTTTTAAAACAGGTGATAAGAAACAAGACGATAAATATAGATATTAATGTATTTCTTTTCTTACAAAATTATTTACATCACTCTTAATATGCATGTATCCGTGGATCACGATACAAATCATTACAATTGAGATAAATAATAAAATTGATATTGGCAAATTTACATAGCGTTAACAATACTTATTCGTCTAAAACAGATCATTAGGCACCATTTCCTAAATAAGGTTACATTAATACACACAACTACAGATTCTACACATTTCGCATTAAATTGTAAATAGTTAGATTTAATGAAACACGTTTAACGGTTTCAAACGCGAAACATATTTAGTTAATTCATTGTAACTACAAACTGGCATTTCGGATTTCACAAATATATTTCGCGTCTACCGTCAAAAGTTTATTTAATACGTACCACTCTCGTTAACTACCGACATCGCTTAAATAGTGGAATGTTTATAATTCAAGATAATTTCACATGGATATTCCATTAGATACCTCTCGGTGACTAATTCCAAGAGATACTTATTAGTACGAGCATATAAACAGCGATACACATAAATGTTGTTTAACAATAATATACATAAACATTAAATAATTGAATAAATTATGCAATAGTAATTGCGTATTAAAAACGCAGCGAAAATATGTGTAGAATCCAATAACAAACAATATTTACATACTACATTCATACATTAAACATCGGCGAAATATACAACTTGATTTTCCCAGTAAAGACAAGTATTACAGAGCCTCGATGAACCGAACCTGGGTTAATCTTAACGACATTTTATTTCTCTTTAAAAAAATCATGTATTGCGGTAATTTATAGTAAAAAATACGCTATTAAAAATTGTGTAGACAGCAAAAGAAGAAGAGTTAAAATAATTGTCTTTGTATGATTCTCCTAATCTCTGAAATTACGATACGTATGTTTTAATTTATGATGTAAGCTATATTGGCACACGATATCAATACTGTTCGTTAAAAAAAAAAAGGGACACATATTTTTTTTTTAGGTATAAAAGGTACGCATTTCAAATACAGTAGTTATATTCCTGCAGAATCCCTTCGAAAAATTACCCCGAAGATCCGAACAAAGTATGCAACAGATGTCCGGATTATCAAGGCTCTGTTGAAACAAGAATACCTCGCTTTGTAAATGTGCATATATAGTACAAAACTGCACATAAACAATAACTGTTCATAAATGTTGTCGTAAAATTATCGCGATTAAAATAGATATTTATCGACTTAGTAATTTTCCACGGCGTAAATTAAAAGCATATTTCTATTGTGTTTAAAGACTGAATGTGGAAATAATAAAAGAAGCAGTTACATACCTCTGTTATGGGCACTTATACAGGAGAAACTGAATCGATTATTGGAAATTGCCATTTCAATTTAACTACAAGCACGACCGTGAAGGTTTTATATACATCGTAAAACTCACACAATTAAACTGTCTCCTCTAGTCTATACGTTCTTTTGGGTGTTAAATTGATAAGAGTGTTGGTATGATCAAAACTGTGGAATATATTACCTACTTATATCATCTAAGAAACCGCATACCCTGTTAGTCCTACAAGAAGGAAATGATATTATAAAGGTATTTATTATTTCTTCGGTAAAAACTCTTATCGAGTGGTGCTATTGAAATACTGTTGCATGTATGCTATCATAGCTTTGGTACTAGTTAATGAATATGTAGCTAACAGAAGTCTCAACACATAATAGGACAGCCTGATGCCGTAACGCGTTACGTAACGAAGCGGTTTGCTCTTCTGTGAGAAATCTTCAAGAACTTGATTTTATTACGTGGCGCTTGTATTATACACATTAGGCAACCCCGCTAAACCGAAACGTCATATCCAGATACCACTAAGTCCTGGAGAGTGCTAGATTACTCACAGACGTCAAAGATGACGTCATTACATGCCATAATTCAACATACTGTTTGAATATTTCCGCAAATGAAAACTTGAGTGTACGAATTATACTAGGCTATTTAAAATTAAGCTATTATATTATCAATCTCTTACAAAATATACACATTAGGCCATGTTGGCAGTATTACAGAAAACGGTTATTGTCGTGTTCAAACGTAAAATTGTTTCCATGATCGTTGCATAGATATTTACTATCCCACCAAAATTTTAATTACACTTCAATAAATCCTATTCTGTACATAAAACTGGAAAAAATTGCACACTAACTTACCGAGTCTATGGACATACGAGAACAGTGCTAAAAAAGGTTTTTAACTAGAATAAAGAGAAAGTTAAATAAAGATTGAAAAGTTGATACACCTAAAGAAAGAAAGGGAGATAGATATATTTGGATATTCCGCTCAATTTTTGCTTCCAAGTGTTTTAGGAGTAAAAAAGAAGCAATTTTGCAATTAACAATCCAAAATATTAAACAACTTTAACAGTTTAAACGATTTGTATTAATAGTTAAGATATGTTTCAACAACAGTACGTTATGTTTAAAATATTAAAGTTGTTTTATTTAACCGTACTACGTTTCAAGTTAACCTTAAACCTACTTGTACTATTACTTTCCAGTTTTATAATAAGAACATAAATGTACGCATTCAGTCTTGCTTCAATATTTACAACGCTTAAATGTTGTAATTTAATATACACAACTTTCCAAATCCAGGATAAATACTAATGTTGAATACGTGAAATCGATAAATTACGTCACAACATCATCGGTAAAGGGAGGAGGGAAGGGGTGACATCCTTTCATAATTTCGCATAATCACATTTCAATAATAATTATTCACGAAAAAGTATATTTTATAGATACTATAGAATCTAAATAGATATTTGCAAAATGTGACGTCATACCAAATAGATGGATGATCACAGACTTAGGACCCTTGTTATGCCCACTATCATATGACAGTTGGTTCACAAGCAAATGGTTCACTTGGTGGAAGGTGACATATCCCAACCATAAAACAGTTCGCCCTTTTCGGATGTTTGTGACGTAATTTACGGATAACACAATTTATACGTTAGGTGGTACATGGAACATATTTTATTTCTCCAAGGCCATATTATTTAGGCATCTCAATACAGTTGACTAAGCGAACGCAAGACGGCCTTATTATAACTTTCGACCATCCAATAATATAATTACAATAATAATACATTTCATATCAAAACTTCATGTGGACGACTACGATTACACAATAAGAAAACTTACTTAATTTTCATGGTTAATCTTAAAATCATTAGAAATAAATCTACAAATAACAATATAATCACAAGACGTTGACATAAATGAGATAAAACATCAAGTTGTAAAAATAATCTTAGACCGAAAGGAGCTGAAAGCGAAAAAATCCTTACTTTGCAAATGTTATTCCGAACCAAAATTATTTAATATTCCAATATAAAAAAAAGATTCCGGGTAAAAATAATTTATCCTGTTTTATTCTTATCTTGTAAAACAGGAAGCGCTGTGCTCCAAAAGGGATTTTTAATAAAACTGTATTCTCCATATAACAACACGCAATACAACGATAATAATGCGTTTCTTATAGATTCGAAATCACTTGACTTCGGTTGTTTTAACTTGTTTTTCATATAATATATTATATAGAATGACAAAAGACATTTTTATCTATCGTTATTTGGACTAACATTATAAAGAATTGTTTGGAGAGTTACTATTTATATGTTCTATAATTTAACATTATTTTCTTGAGTGCCGTTATATCGAGCTTACAGTATACAAGTAGACCATACTGAAACACTGCCTTAAAGAATCTCCTACAATACTGTCCGCAGATCCGCTTTTGATCATAGCTGATAATTTCCATCTACGTAAATAGAGTCTACACTTGTGTATTGTGCTAATGCGCAGAGTGTACACTGTGCTGCGCTTTCTTCTTCCTCTGCGCTAACATGTCGTAGAACGGGTTATGACTTATGGAGCGACGCAAACACTCGATCCATTCGTCGCGTTCCTCTGCTGTTGATGCTGACATTCTGTAACATTATTATACGAGAATTAATAGAGAGTCTCACAAAACTCTTTCCTTTAGGCGGAATTAGAAAAGTTTAAACAAAAAACGTAAGAAATTATTAAAAATGAGTTCGAATTTCAAATTCGATTTTTCTTCTGTTCTAAGAAATTGCGCAAAAAAGACAGCCAGTTCGTAATTTAAATTAAATCTTTTTTTTCTTTTTTCAGTTCTTTGTTTGCCATGTTTCGGAGTAGATCGTTATATTTTTAATTACACGAAATTCTTTTTAATTTATGACGGCCAAATAAATACAGATTATACGCATCTGTCTTGTTTAGTATTTATACAACTATTAGCGGCCGTTGCTCGACCAGTTTGATTTATCTCGAAGATGGTTAAAAAAATGCTCAAATTTACAAGCATGTTTGGGGAAAAATATATTTACGTAATTGATCCTGAATACTTCCCATTTAATTAATTTTTTCTGAACTTATTGTGTAAAAGCTAAATTTTACGATCCATAACACTAAGAAACAGAACACTACAAGTGTGCTTTGTTACAAAACGTATTTAGAAATTGAATTTAAAACCAACCTATAAACAGTATGTTTTCCCTCAACAACTTTTCCTTCAGAGTCTGTCTTGCACGCTTTGATTAAGTCCGCTCCGCCGCTCGCGTATAACTCTAAGCAGTGCGGCCGCTGACGATCACTTGCTGGACGGACCTGAAAAATAAAATTTTTTTTAGTGCATTCTTAAGACGTAGATTTAATCCCCTTTGACAGAATTTAACTACGCATATATGTCACTAGTAACCTAATCAAAAGTATAAATAAAGAAGAATTAATGAAAAATTTCCTTTCCTTCCCATCCTTTTTGTTATATTAATTTAAAATTTCTATAAGCAACACAAAATGGCACAAAATACTAATAAACTTAGACAACGATTTTTTCCATACAAGTACAATATATTATCTGTAGTATAATAACAATTATCTACAATTTCTCGGAAAGCGTAACTAACGCGTACATAGAAATCTTGCGCACAAATTGTCGTGAACTAATTTGATGGTCGTTTATGACATAGAAATTCGATCTTTACTGCACAAATTGTAGAGACGAAACGTGTTATCTTGTTTTACGATGGTGGCATGCGAGATCTTATCGGTGTGTCATACGCCCATTTAGACACGATGATAATTACACCGGTTATGGGGCGACTAATTGTGGGGACATTGGACGTAACTAGACCAGATGATCGATACATAAATGTGGATAATGTGACTTTGCATCATTAAGAGAGGTTTTAGGGTTGGATTATTTTTTTACTACTATAGACAAAGCACATCGTATGCAAATTGCAAACATCGAGTTTTATTTAAGTTTCATCAAATTGATAGTATTTTAATGATAGAGGAGGACAGACAAGCATTTGGGTCACTTGAAGTAAAATACCCCGGCCGTGTAACAACGTGTCGACCTATTCTGGCTTTGGATATTCGGAAATGCACAAACTGAACCCTGAAATATCCAGATTACCCGACAAAGTCCAACATGTTTCAGAAAAAATATAAATTAATCGTAACATGTTATGATTTTATATTTTAGGGATTGAAGCCACGATCCATTTATTATTAGCACTACATTGCTACCATTAGACCAGCGAGCCGTCAAAAACTCTGTATTTCGACTATTTACAAGCGTTTAAGCCTTGTTTTACGCGGACAGAACATTATGAATTCCAACCTTGACTGTACCACGTGAAGAACATCTATTTGAACAAAATATTACTCGAGCCGCTAATCAGTTAGCTAATAAATCGCACGTTTATTTTATGAGCCAGGCACACATATTAAATAAACAGTTTGGATATAAAACTATAAGTACTATTTCACATTGCATGGGTCTAACAACTGTTGGAAAAGACCACACATGTTACGCAACTGTGCCAAAAAATATTAAATAGACTAATGGAGTTTAGGATCGTTTAAGTATTTGAGAATCTTAGGGAGGGTAAAGTTTTTAGTGGCCACCAGCAATCACCAAAGCAATAAAACATCTTTGTAAAGCATAAAATTAGTTGTGTAGTTTGAAATGAAGAGTTTGTTTGTTTGAACGCGCTAATCTCAGGAATTACCGGTAAGAATTGAAAAAAATATATTTTTGTGTTGGTATAAACATTTGGGTATAAACAATCGCCCTGTGACTAATACACAGCGAGAAATGTAAAATAAAATTGGAAAAATTATTCACGACGAAAAACGGTTCAAGATACCTCATAAATATGTATGAAAGAATTATTCATCTAAAAAAAGACCGGGACGCTATATGTCTATCTTTTAAGATTAACTTGCAAGAACGACGGTCGATCGACGATGGTGGTGTTACCAAAAACGAATTTGGATGCCCAAAATTAATATTCTTAGCGGACGAAGTCCCTGAAACAGCTAGTTTTATATAAGACAATTTGAATAATTACCATTCAAAGAAGTCAGAATATGCTCCTATAGGCATACTATAATATTAGGTAGGTATTCAACACTTTTCAACTTCCTGTCACCTACACGAACAATGTTATTTTACTTCTATTTCTAGGCCATTCTGTACGTAAGTCAGAAACTTTGGGTGTACATCTTCATTTATACCACAGTAAAAAAGTATTCTCCACTTACAGATATGTTTTCTAACGGAATGATGCCTCGTGGTTCCTTATCCGTTGTGTACTCGAAGTAATATAGGCAGTTGTCGTTCAATATGAACCATCGTCTCTTCCACGACTTATACCTGAAAAATACATTATACTAGTAAGTGTGAGTAAATGACAACATTCGTGATTTTTAATCTCAAATAAATTGTATATATATTTTCTACTTCGACACTTGTTATTGAAGTGTCGAAGTACAAAATAAGTACAAATTTAAGATGTTAAGAAAACAATACCTAATAACAATACGATTTAAATGACATATCGTCTTAACCAAAGTTCATTTGTCAGCTAAAACGACAAAAAAAGGATCTCACATATTGCGTCATCGACTAACATAAGAGATGCGTCGTACCTTTTCATTTCTTTTACAACCTTGTGACATTTAAATAAAACACTTTTTAACGGGTTTTAAAACGCGAAATATATTTGTTAACTTATTTAAATTTTATTTCTATTCTTCGAACTACAGTTCACCCACTAATATATTTTGCGTTTTAAACCGCTAAAAGTGTTTGATTTAAATGTGTACTACCCGCGTAGATTAGAGACAATACTTACTCAATCACCCTGTGACAGACACATTTGTTTTTCACTTAGTTTCTCAAAGTATGAAATAGATAGAACTCAAGTATCCGAAATACAAAGTAAGACTCCTCAGCTATGCGAAATAATAATATTTACATCGAAGTTGCACTATGTCAGCTTTGAATTATATATAAAAAGTCGTTGTATCGGTATAAATTATAGATATACATTACGACATCATTTTTCTAAATTTGATATCACATAAACATATTTACCTTCCGCCCTGCTTCCAGAGCCATCCCTCCTTGTCGGGGTTGAAGAAGGTATGCATGAGATCATTGCCGTCGTCTTCAGGGATCTTGAAAGGCTCCGTCTTTATAGACTCGTATAAGGACTGAAAAAGAACAATAATTTAAATCAATAACTAGATATAAAATCTACTGTGGAGCAAGATTTTTTGTTTGTTTTATACATTTTTAAGCAGAGGAGGTCAAATACGCTTGGGGTTTATTTGATGAAATGTTAAATTTCGATTTTCCTACTAAACGTTTCCCATCCAAATTTTATTTTAGATTTTGTGTCAAACATGTGTAAAATAAAAATAGTATGAAACTTCTTTACAAACACGTTGGAGCCTATAGCAATCGAATACACGATCGTTTTTTTAGTTTTGCCGGTTGGAAATACATTGCTGGCACTAAGCCAATCAGCCTGCCAAAAATGGCAAGTCAGGCGACTGATAAGCCTTTATACGTAAGACAGATAAAAGATAACAATGTAAATATTTTTAATCGGTCAACGTGTTATAATTCTGTACCTGTACACAAAAAAGCAAACCTGTGTAATTTTTGACACTAAAACTCTGTTGTTTAGTCACTGCAACTTGCAGAAAAGGGAATTGCCACAAAACAGCAAAACAATATTATATTATTGGTATATCGCGTCTGTCACAACCGGTCCATCAAATGCAACTATGGAGACTTATCAGCATTCCTTTTAGCGGTGATAAGGGGCCATTATATTGACATCAAATATCATTTATTTGCTTTATTGTTTGTCATTTACGTCACGAGGTTAGAATTGTTATTGGTAAAGTAGGTTGGGCCGTATCACTATATACGACGCAGAAATTATCATTAACTATGTATCGTATGTTTGAAAGCTTATATTATTAGTATTTATCACATGTTATTGCTGATAGCGATACATAAGTTGATTATCGATTTTATATTAAAAACAAATTACAACACTGGCAGGACCTGCATCAAGGAACATATAAAATCCATTTTAATTTATGTATCGAATGGTTGCCCTTGTGACTCCATTGCAGTCATGTATTTAATCGGCTTATTAACTGGGCATTCGATTTAGTAATCGCGAAAAGTTTGAAATTCGAATCCCTTACACATATTTATAATTTTTATTGTTAAAATTGATCAATGACACGTAATGAGGTTTCACACTATTGACTATGTTTAAATATGTCTCAACTGACTAACCTCGTACATGAAAAAGTAGATAAATATTCCAGCGAGGTAATCCGTTAATGATAAATTACAATATTATTTCATCGTTGCGCAAAACATAATACAGCCGTGACTAAATTACATTAGAGTTCAAAGTTCGTATTAATTTTTCACGTCGGCAGCGTGATGTCATGCGCACGCTGCAAAAAGAAAATTACCCAGCTAATTGATCCGAGATGTTTTCTACTCGAGCGTATGAGGTAAAGGCACATTATCCTTAATCCTTGATACGAAGCATGTCACTTTGAGAACGGGTCACATGACATGCGAAAACATTTATTCAATGGCCTTTTATTATTATGAATCATCCAAGATGAATAAAATTACCGCAAATGTAATTGGTCAAAATATTTTGCACAATTTAATATTTCGTTTATTTTATAGTATTTTTAATTTAACTTGCTTAATTGCAATTTACTCAAATTCATAGATAAATGACACATGGGTTTGCTAACAAAAGCGATTTTGTTTAAGTCTAATTATTAATAAATAAGATAAGCCAACCAAATGACATATTTTAAACAAAGCTTAATAATGTTTTATTTAACTTGTAATTACGTTGTGTGTAAGTGGTTAACACAAAAGAAATGTTTAGCACAATGGTGTTATAATGCTGTTAGAAATAAAGTAGGCTAATATTATAAACGAGTTAGAATTAATAATTACGTAGCCTACATTTGTCGTGTACATGCAAGGGTAACAAACTGGACTAGTTCTGAAGTTTGTTTCGTTTAGTTCAAGATACGATACATGAGTAGAAGTATGATGTTGAGTAGATATAGTGTATTTAATTCAACTAACTGGAAACTAGGCATAATATGCAATTGTGGAAATTTGGAAACTTCATGTATAGTATTATAAGCTCCAAAGATTATAATACTATAATCTAGCTTTTTGAAATGATCTAAAAAAATGTTCGCGATACTATATGCCTATCGTTTAATATTAACTTGCAAGAACAACGGCGATCCAAATTTGTTTTTGTAAAGCTGTTAACGACGACGCTACGACTATTCTACGCGGACGAAGTCGCTGACACGTGTAGTATAGAATATATATAATTTGGTAGCACATAAAACATTTGGTACATATCATATAAAACAACGCTAAATTGATATTACAACGGACCTTTTTCCTTAACGCGGGAATATTACTGACAGCCGACGTCATATCCAACGTTATTATGGAAAACAAGTTGAAGTCGTATGTCTGGAGTTTGAATTGAATACAGAGCAGTGGATAAATAGAATTTAGGGCACTCTGACATATAATCGACAATACAAGGGCGTGGTAAAATAATACCTAAATGAATATTAAGATATTACAAAATTGAAAAAAAATTACGACACGGGCAGGACTTGAACTGGAAAAAACATTCCGTGGATTTGTTCTAGCCAATTGAGCAACCGTGCCTTACACGTCATATTTTTTTTACTTACAATCGATTTTTAATCTATCTTCAAGGTTAATACTTTTTTAAATCAAACAAGCTAGATAGACTTGAGTAAATTTTCTCGAATTTTATAATTCCATATAAATTACAAGCTGTTTACGTTTTAATACAACAACAAACCGAAGGTTAGATCACACTATCATACATCCTATAAAATTAGCTTGTTAATGGTGCATACATTTAAAGAGAACCTTGTGAAACGTAAAGTGAATTTTGACTTCCTCAAGGTTAATATATATATGGTTTTTACACAGGAAAATAGTTTAAATTCAAATTTGTCTATCAATACGTGAGAATTTAAAAGTGAAACCCAATCTTCTCCTACATCTTGCGTCCTAATCTGATCTGACTTCAGCATTTTAGCATATTATAAGCACTACTATACAATAGTACAATGGTTTGAAAATATTAACATTTTTCACATTTATTACACATGACGGCATTGTAATCAATAGTAGCGGTAGTTCAATTCGACAAATCGATTTTGAATCCTATTGATCGGATGTAGTATTAGAAGGATCACACTAGAATAGTTATCTTTTGAGTCTGACGGGCTCGTTGGTCTAATGGTAGCAATGTTTGGCTAACGATCAACGGAGTCGTGGGTTCGATCCCCACCAGGCTCTACATGTTTCTAATTTTGGAAATCTGAATATTAAATGGATGGTAGGAATACAGAAATTCCGGGTCATGAACCACCGTCCACAGATGAAAAAATCGCGTTTATATCCTAAGCCAAAATAGTTCGACAGCGCGTCTTGTTTCGAACATGCCATGTCTGTCCTCCTCTATCATAAAGAAAACTTACCAGGAGCAACTCCTGAGGTAGATCGCCACCATTGTTGATACCCCGGTTCATCGCGACGAACTGCTCCGGCGACGGCTTGTCCTTCACGCTGGGGTTATGTAGCGACGTATTCAGCATAATTATGGCGAAACTGAGCACGTAGCACGTATCCGCATTCGTAAAGATGTCGGGGTTCAGTTGGCAATAGCGCTGCGCGAAGCTCTCCATCATGCGATCTATCTTTTGCGCCTCGCCAGGGAGACGGAAACTCCATAAGAATTGCCTGAAACAGAATTTGCTCATTTAGAAATTATTTTAACTACGGCCTGACGTTTCGGATGCTTTGCAGCAGTTCATGATCGTGGGGAGACGTGACCACGGCTGCGGCAAAACATAGTTAACTACAGATAGTATTTTCTTAAGAGAAGTTTAAAGCGCTTTATAAATCCTATTGATCGTATAATCTTCTGTGCCATCTTCAAGACTTGACACTACTTTATGGGCGACTTAACTTGTTTGTCCTGGGTTCTAATCATAGAAAAACATGATGATGTATCACCATAGATGTCTGATCACCTGCTTAGTAGACTACATCGATTAAGGAAACGGACATACAAATGTGTCTACCCCACGTCCCAATTAGGGTAAACAGGATTTTCCTTTTAAGGTCATATTACGCTGGCAAGCGGGAAATGCGTAAAGTAGTTTGCTGATTACATTGCGACTTTCTATAAAGAAAGCCGATTTTATATTGTAAACACGATCGCTCACTTGTGACATAAATAGAAATAAAGTTACTTTCTTTATTCCTAAGAAGCAGCAAACAACCTGTCAAACTGCTAATGAAAAACTCAAGATTCATCCGATTGTAGGATAACTACGAAAGAGTTGAAGTGAAATCGCGTTTCCCTATGGAGGCATGGGGCAGACATATTTTATTGTCTGTTGTAATGATCGATATTATTTTTAGGCAAGCACTCTATCGGAACCTTATTGTCTGCCCAACAGAAAACGCGATATATATTAGTTAAATTTATGTTGAAATTATTGTTACTACGGCCCGACTGCAAAGCATCCAAAACGTTTTATTTAAATGTGTACTACTCGAGTAAACTACAGACAGTACTGTCTATACTACTCACGTATACGCTTACATCACGGAGAAACTGTCTCTCCGTGACCACGGCTGCTGCAAAGCATCCGAAACGTCGGGCCGAAGTTAAAAATCATTTTGAAATAAGTTTAACTAATATATCGCGTTTTAAACCATTAGAGGGTTTTATTTAAACTACAGACAGTATTTCAATCCTGTAGTGATTGATCTTGAAAGATGTAACATGGATTTGGGGCCGATATATTTTCCTTCTTTCATACGTAAGCGATCCACGATACACATCCTGGTCACAGAATCCTCTTACCAGAATAAATATTGGTACAAGTTGAGAGACAGTAAATAAAAAGGGATTAACCTTAACGCCTGAACTAGTATCAAGTCTGTGAAGTCGTGGAGTTCGACGAATGCCCTTAGTACCGCCTCATTGAACTCGGAGCGCTCGCCCAGGTAATCGCCTATCGCGGTTTTGCTCAGGCCCTCGCCTTTGTGTAGAAATTGCGCTACGTCCTCCGGTGTCCTTTGTAGTAATCCGTTCTCGTATAAATACTCTATACCTGTAACAAGCGCACCCTTGTATTAATACTGTGGAGTTTTTAATGGCGCTGTTTGCGGGATTTTACGTTTGAGTACGTATCACATTTGTATAATCATGTAAGTTCATAAAAAATTACGGTAAATATCGAAATGAAAATCTTTAACGGTTTAAAACGCGATATGTATTAGTTAAACTCATTTGGAAACAATTTTTTAAATACGGCCCCACGTTTCGCTAGCGTAGCAGTTTTTACTTTGACGTCAGAGACATCCTCCATCTTTAGTCTCCCCGTGACCACGACTGCTGCAAAGCATCCGAAACGTCGGGCTGTAGTTAAAAATAGTTTCCAAATAAGTTTAACTAATATATATCGCATTTTAAACCGTTAAAGTGTTTTATTTAAATGTGTACTACTCGCGTAAACTACAGACGTATAACTAAATAAATGAGACTTTGGGTCTGTAAGAAGAATTCTACACACTACGTACTTAAATAAATGTCGAAACGGATAGAAATAGAAAAAAGCTAATTGTATCTTAATTAGAACGTAAGTAAAGGATAAACAAAACACAACTCCGGTTTATTCTTGAGGAGAATAAATATATCGATATACAATTTTATATAGCAAATTTAAAATGTTATACTTATATGCATTAGAAGATTAAAAATCCTAGATAAACAAGCCATTCTGTTCAAAAAATACATTTGAGTAATGCAGCCGTCCGAAAGGCACGATAACTTCGTCAAAGCTCTGCTGCTGTACGGGTAGGCTTTTCGCCGTAATTGAAAACTGGATAGGAATTCAAATAACTTCACAGACCTTAAATGTTTTTTCTCGAATTGCATTTAAATTAAACCTGATTTTTTTTAAGAAATGCTCTGAAATGCTTTATTAAGAGATATTGTGGTTGTAGGTGTAACATGATAAAGACTTGCTATTTTACAAATGCCATGCCATATTTCCAAAAGATCCTTACTTATTATAAAGGTTTGTTAGTCCTTTCTTTACGCCAAATACACCCACTCACTTGCATATAGTTATTTTACTTATATATTATACTAATACATTATATTTGTTTAAACAAAAGTTGTCGTCTTTTTGCCGTTTTTCTAATTTCGAACGAATCAAATTGTAGAGTTTTCAACAAGCAGGATCTAAATTCTATTTGCTGTCGTCACGAGCGTCATGCCCTATTGCCCACCCTTGACGTCACAGACATTCACCCAACACCCACTGAGAGGGTAACGTAGGCTTTCACATTCCAAGAATATCAATGTCTGAAGTTACTCAATAAAATCCATCTATTCAGCCTGAGGTTGCGCCTCATTTATTCCCCGATATAAGAGACGAGTGTATTTTCCATCATGTAAATGTCAACCTAATCTATAGAGTCTAAAAATAAACTCAATCTTTTTACACTCTATGTACAATCTTGGAGCATGAAAAATTGAAGATAGCCAGATGATAAATTGCCATCGTCAGAAAAAGGACATCGCTGGACGGATAGACAAAGAATAAGCGCGCTTGTTAACGAGCAACGATTCTACATAGATCGGCGCAACCGACTTGCATATTCCGAGTACGCAGTGATTTTATTAGCCTTGATCATATAAATTATGATAAATGTGACCACGGCGACATTAAATTGCGCAGTAATTTATTTTTGCACACAATTAAAATCTTTTATAAGACACTGTAATTTCCACAAGTCATAAACAACTTATATAAAAGTAGGTTAGCTATGTTACAAAATACCGATAACAAATCTAACTACCATCCATTGATTAGTTCCAAAATCTTTTTCGAGCTTTAAAAACAAGAATTTTCAAAACTATTTTAAGTACCACGAAACGAGAACTGCAACAATGTTATAATTCTTAGTAAATTCCTTCTTTCGTATAATTGACGTTACAAAAATCCCCCGATTTGGGCCTCGACTATACAAATATACCAAACGTGACATTTCGCCTTAAACCATTTTCCGTTTCCCTTGTGTGTCGATTGTTTGATTTTGTAAATTGGTTTATTAAGCCGCGCATTTCATAAATCATCGCTGATATGGAAGTGGATGAGTGTAAAAATGCACACACGGGCGGATTCTCGCGTATGTCAACAATGCGGTTTCGCAAGACAAGCCGTGGGAAAACAGCACCTGTCATACTGCAAATGCTGACACAGTCTTTAATATCTCAATAAATAATTCCCATGCTATCTAAATGACAATTGCCTTCAATCACTCAGAGCCACTATTCTCAATTGAAAAACGAGTCGCCTAGTATTACGAAGAGCATGAATTATCCCGGGAAAGTTTAAAAATTCAGCTTAAACAAAAGCTTTCCCCATGCAAAGGAATAACGTAATTACGAATGCATTTCGCGTTCTATTTAGAGAAATTTTTATAACTTTAGAAATTATTATATTTAAAAAAATCTTATTTCTCTACCTTGGTTTAAACCAAATATCGATCTCTCCTCATAATTAAGGAAACCGAACCTGTATGAGAACCTACTTATCAGTTTCTAAAACGTGCATTTGAATAAAATTACTTCTTACGTAATATTGCGTACAACAACTGTATCACGTATGTAAATAGGATTCAAAGCTAATTACTTAATATTCATATTTTATGTAATTTTGTCCTTATTACACAAGTGAACCGAATTACTAACATAATTATTGGTTTGCAAAAAAAACACGCACAAAATAATCTATACTTTACGGTATAATTTAATACATTTTCATTTACGTGATGATAATGCACTGGAACTTAACATATTATGTTTTATAATTTAAACAATTACAAAAGGAATTAGTATATTGATGACAATAGACGGTGACATGGGTCGTATGCTGTTGGTCTCAGTTTTGAACCCGCCTGTGTCTTAAGGCGGCTATTCCATATTTCAAAAATACCTTTCGATTAAGAGGAAACCATAATTGTACTGCAGCAGTGCCCACTAGTTACCTTTTTTAGGATCCATGTTGAACTTCTTTCGCCCTATGCTCATCTGTTTGGCCTTGCTATTCTGTTTGCACTCCTCTTGTCCGTCCAGAGCTTCCAGCTCGGCCACGACTTCGCCGAGTTCATCTTTGAGTTGCTGTAAAAAGAGAGACAACGTTCAGACAAATTACGTAACTTTCAACCCTCTCGTGATAAGTATAGATAGGTATAGTCATAATAATTAGTTAAGTGTTGCTTAATTATAATGATGGATAAAATAAGCCGATCCCTCTGTAACAAATCCAGTGTAAATCATGTAAAAAAAGAAAATACAACTCTTCAAATGATTTATTGCAACAAAAGCTAAAAATCTAGGACGAACAGTTTTCCAGCTGAATGTCAGTGAGCACAATGGGCCAAGCTACAAAGAAAATATCGTATTCAGTAGCCTGAACAGAACCAAGCCCAGATGAAAATAATTATGAACACTGCCGCAGCCGCTTTACCGCAGACAAATCTGACATAGATAACTAGGGGTGATATCGAAATGTTGCCAACTTCTGAATACTTTTTGTCATATAAGTGACAAAACTATCGTTTAACGTTAGTAAGTTACAATTAATTGTATTTTATTATGTTTGGCGCATTTCTATTAACGCAGCCGATACGACGGTTTGAGCTATATGCGTAATACGTATGATTTAGTTGAGTGTGTCTAGCTAACCAGCCACTATGATTTGTCTAATATAGGATAGTTTTAGCAATTCACAATTAGACCGTGGTAGTATTTACTCGTTGTATGGTAGTAGTGAATTGATTCAATAACCGATGTATTACAGTATTCCAAATATTTTCCTTAAGCGTAAACACAATAATAAAGGTACAGTAAATATTATAGGCACGTATGAATTAACGGTACGAATTATACAAGACAAATATACTCCTCTGCGATATTATAAATGAACGCCTCTGTAGCTCATTGGTTAAACGCGTTGGCTAACATTGCGTTAACCGAAGAGGTCGAGGTTCTGTCCCCGGGAAACAATAAATGTTACCCGGGAAATAATTAATTACTATTATTCTGTAAATAAATAAAAATAACATTATTCTAATATTTTATTTTATTTTTATTCATTCGGGTTATGTATACCTTTTTCCCAGAAATCTACACCTAATAGCTGTGAATGATTAAACGTATAATCCTACATTAAACAAAGTATAGTAAGTCTCGAATCTTGCTGCGATACGGTCTGACGGCGTTCCAACATAATTTGCGGTCGGCAACCTATTCCCCCGAGGGACATGCCACTGGTCTTCCTTGTCTAGACGATAGAATAATAATATTTTCTTATGTTTAATATACTAGCGATGTAGACAAACATAGATAACAATTTAGGTGGGTAGTGTTTAGCTTCCTTAGTTTGGCATTCATATTTGCGTAGTTTTGCATAGCATGAAATAAAGAAAAACTACTTCTTTCAGTGTGTTTCAGTGATATAATGATTTATTAAATTAAATTAACTTAACCATAATACTGGGAAAGTTCTAGGTTTTTGTCTGAAATCGGAAACTCGTAAGTCGTCAATTTCTAATTAAGTTGGGATTTTTACTCGTACATAAGAAATCTACAAGAAAATGTATCTATTAAGAAAATAGTATTTTAAAGAGTTTAATTTAAGGTGTTTGTTTAAAAAAAAGGTATAATAAAATATCTCACCAATCGCGTACAAACTCGAATACACTGAGTTAGATTGCACTGACGATTATACTTACACAGTCAAAATATTCTATCGAAATGATGTTAAGTATACGCAACTTAAAAAAAATACTTTTTCCATTTTCCCAAAAAAACTAAACTTGTTCACATTTGAGCTAGACTATTTATGTAAAATTGTTGGAAGATTATTATTTTAGCTGCAGATGTTGACTTGTTATGAAAATGCCAACTTAAATAAAAGTGTCACCCACAAGGAAAATTGAGACATGTCAATTTCGCTACTGACGTTATCCGTAGATTTTGGTCAAACGCTAGGACTACGGTTCGCGTCTAGACATAATATTAAACAGACTGCAGTGATTCAACCATGCACTTAGTGATTTTTATTTTTGTCAGCTAATGTAAGTTTATATGTATAAAAATCTTAAGTTGTTTACGTTAAAATAATATTTATAGGCATATTAATCGAGCCCGTAAACTGAAGTGCTGCGATTAGAAATGGTTCTCTTAAAATAAGCATAATTTTGTCACTGAAGCAATGTAGATCGAGAATTTAAAAAGATCGCTTAAGGCATATAATACTATTATTAAAATTGAAAACCTACTTGGCTCAGTTGCAAAAAGGCATAGGATAAGTGCCAGATGTATTGGCTATGAATACAGGTAAAACGCCATTAAGTTGCAGTTAGGGGCACGGATTTAGATCACCCTCCCAATTACAAAGCTTGTACATAAATTACTCAGTGCAACATGTAAGGTTATAATTATGACAGCAAAGGCACCCAGTAATCAAAGTTACAACATGTCTTATTGTTTTGGAACGTCACGCAAATTTTAAATTGCGGCAATTTTTCCAATACCAGACACTATTGTCGTAACTTGATACTGCGCCACATCCGCCATTACACTTCTCACTGGTCTCCGAGGGTTTGTCGATTGCATAATGCTGACTGGTCACACTTTCCATAATTTAAACGACTGAAATTATTCGATAGATATCATTAAGATTGATGAAGCATAAGATTTATCAAAATATCACAATAAACTTTAATAGACCATAAAGAAACGAATTTTTAATCACCGCGGTTGATAGTTCTGTTATATAACTGATGGTTGTCTTCGACAATATTGTGCGTAATTAGTAATTACCGTTTCGATCACGAATTGAGATTCAATAGACATATAACACGACATAAACACAACGGCTCAAAGCTAGTGTTTTACGAGGCGATCAATTGAACAATTGATGGTGTAATTTTCAATTTGACTCCATTATCGATACAAATCACAGGACAACTTGGTGAGGAGCAATTGTAATGGAATCTTTCGTTTACTTATTCCAATTAAATGCTAAATAGATTAAGTGCTGTATGTAAAGACCGCCTTAGGTCGATGATAGTACTAACGTCATAGCCTTCCGTGACTTGGATAAGAGCTATAAATCCATATTAAAGTCAACACTACGACGTCCAATCATGCAATAAAACTACAAATAGGTGTATCAGTAACCGTATTGTCGCTTCTGAAAGACGTTAAGAGCTGGCTATTAGTCAAGGGTTATAAATGGCGCTTGAACACAACTCCACTTTAAACTGATGCTTTACTATCTTCTGTCCACTTGACTACACAGAAACTAACAAGATCAAGATAATATTAAACAATTTTTAGAACCTTGAGCGACTACTCTTTCTTGAAGGAGCTTTCGAGACCTTCGTTTCTGAAGATGCATGCCCTAAACTTTTTGAAGTTCGCGTCTATCTAGATGCCAAAGTGGACAGCCAGGGCCACGTTGTCGAGTAGTCTTGTGAGCCATAATACTCAGTAAATATAGACAATACTGTAAGGATTCCAGTGTTATTGAGAGCGAGTGTCGTAAAACGATCGGAATCGTGAATCCTTTGAAGACTTTCACCCATTAATTCACTTTCCCTAAGTTTCAATTTCGCGAACGCATCTGATTATATTACGGTATTACTTTAGGCAAATAAATACCTATTTTTTCTATGTAACACGATAAACCTATAAGTGTATACAAAACAGTGGTTTTGTCTTGAAACTATTCCTAAATCCTACTGAACTTTAAAAATAACTTATACCTTCATAGATTGCCTTCTGCAACACATATTTTTTATTGAAAACACGTTTTTGTTTGTCTCGAATTAGAACAAACCATCAATGTTGTAATAGTAGCAATATAAATGATATTCTGGGTACATGGTACAGTTTTAGAGGGAAAAAATAAGGGGTCCAGTGCAGCTTTAAGTAGTAGATTTGCATCCCGGGAAGATAATCAAAAACTATTTTTAAATATGATTTTATTTTAAGACAAAATAAAACTTGTAAACTTATAAGATTTTAACATTACTCCTTTCCTAAAAATATGGTTACATTGAAGTATTCTATTTTTTCTATCTTCCATTAAAAGCCCAATTCATCAATATTATATATAATATAACAAATAGTAGACAATTATTTTATATATTTGGCTATGAGTTCTGGAAAAATTAGTATAACTTTAGTGAACTGTCAATATTCTAACAATAGCCCCGTTATTACTGTTCAGTGTTCGGTTAGCGACATCACTTCGCCTAATGGCCTGGCGAATGTAAGGCAATCCATAAATAACATCAACTAGGTACCCACTTTTAACAGCCGCCCCTTAAATGTTCCGACCCTATGCTTAGAGGAAATTGAATTATGCTAATTTCTTATCGTCAATATGAAGCTCAGATAGTCTCTACTTCCCAGACATTCTGTGCTTTTTTGCCTTATTTGTGTACACTTAAAAATATATTAGGCGGCCTGTATATGAATACTTTATTTAAATATTTCTACTTTAAAAGTTTTTTTTTATATGATTTAAAACGAATTTATAGGCACATGTTAACTGAATCAGAAAATTAATGTCTAACATCCAAGAGACTCGATTTTATTGAGTCTTTGAGACGATGTAAATAAATGTACAGTTTTGGCAATTTTCCAATCAGTAATTGTATTTTTGGAGTAAAATTTCTGCATATATGCGAAAACGACCTTCAACACATGACAAGTTGATACTGGCCTAAGTGGTACGACCATCGGAATTTTTAATACTACGGAAATTTTAACGACATAGAATCAATGATAAGAATTTAAAGACTTCAACACGGACGGATATAATAAGATAGTATTATTAACAGAAAAAGTTTTACGAATACAAAACCCAATTATTCTATTGTCTCATAAAAAATACATAGCTTCAGCTAATTTAGTAATTTTTTCGATAATAGCACAATGCTTTTAAATTATGTATATCATATAATATTATTAAATTTTTCCAAATCTTCGAGCCGACCGAATATTTAGGCTTCTTTAGTATGGCCCAGTGATATTTGCGTTTGAAATTAGTCTGCTCGGCTGCCAACGCTAATAATAACGGGGTTTGCCATTTTGGGGCGAAC